AGATGTTTTCCCTTAGCAATTCACAGAGCAACTAATTGCTCTTACAAATTGCAGGTACCTTTAAAAGATATTTCAAATTGAAAATTCTGTGGGGGTCTTATATCTAATCAAAACTTTGCTACCTCAATATATATATTTTTTCCTAGGTTTTGCACTTTTATTTTATTAGTCATTGATAATGTCAAATATATGTATATAGTACATAATCATTTGCACTTCATATTTGTCATTAAACATTTGTTTTAAGTTTTTACTAATTGTTTTAATTTGATTTGAGTAGGAAGATATCAGTATAGTGTAAACATGAGTGAAAGTGGTATTTCCTTTACACTGAAAGAAATATAGGATTTAAATACAAATAAATATATAAAGTCTTCAGATATTATGATTTTACCAACATATGTACATACATATTTAGAATCTATTAAAAATCCTCAATATATGTATGTATATCTATCTGTACAGTCTCATCTCTATCTAGATAATAATTTTCAATGGTTGTTTAAATATATTCATTTTCCCGGTGTCCCTTTTCTCACATCCACGTCACTGATAAATTTCCTCAATTATTAAAGACGTCAGAACAATTTAAAATTTACCAAGTCTTTATCTTATATTTCGCAATGTGCTTGTAAAATAGTATTACCTAGAGATAGTTTAAGTGTGCCATGATAACTGGTTTTTGTCACTGTAAAATTTCTACCTCCTGTTAAATAATTTCGCAAATTTTATTGAAAGTGAAATACGCAAAAAAAAAAAAAACTTAATCAAATTGTTTTGGAATATTTTACTATTCTAGATCTTTTTAACTGGCCAATTAATAACTACTATATGCAATAGTTGAGATAAGATATATAACGTAAGTTGTTAAAGCAAAAATCGAGATCAAATATAGAAAACTGTTCATTATGTAAGTTTCCGGATCAATTAAATTTTTAAAATACAGCTGTGATAAGAGATCAGGAAAAAGTTTCATTAATTCACTCAATCAAACTCATAAAAAGATTAAAATACGGTCTAGGATATACGCTATAGAAAATAATGTAGACTATACCATAGACTAAATTATAGTTCCGACTATAGTATAGATTATACTATAGGCTTGACTATATACTAGACTATAGACTAGACTTTAGACTAGAATATAGACTAGACTATTGACTAGACAATGGACTAGACTATAGAATAGAATATGGACTAGAATATAGACTAGACTATAGACTAGACTATATACTAAACATAGACTAGACTATAGACAAGACTATAGACTAGACTATAGACTAGATTATAGACTAGACTATAGACTAGACTATAGACTAGACTATAGACTAGACCATAGACTAGACTATAGAATAGACTAGACTAGAATATATACTAGACTATAGACTCTACTATAGACTATAGACTAGACTATAGAATATACAATAGACTAGACTATAGACTAGACTATAGACTAGTCTATAGACTAGACTATAGACTATACTATAGACTAGACTATAGACTATAATCTAGACTAGACTATACTAGACATAGACTACTAGACTAGACTATAGACTAGACTATAGACTAGACTATAAGACTATATATAGACTAGACTATAGACTAGACTATAGACTAGACTATAGACTAGACTATAGACTAGACTGTAGACCAGACTATAGACTAGACTATAGACTAGACTATAGACAGACTATAGACTAGACTATAGACTAGACTATAGACTAGACTATAGACTAGACTATAGACTAGACTATAGACTAGACTATAGACTAGACTATAGACTAGACTATAGACTAGACTATAGACTAGACTATAGACTAGACTATAGACTAGACTATAGACTAGACTATAGACTAGACTATAGACTAGACTATACTAGACTAGACTAGATAGACTAGACTATAGACTAGACTATAGACTAGACTATAGACTAGACTATAGACTAGACTATAGACTAGACTATAGACTAGACTATAGACTAGACTATAGACTAGACTATAGACTAGACTATAGACTAGACTATAGACTAGACTATAGACTAGACTAGACTATAGACTAGACTATAGACTAGACTATAGACTAGACTATAGACTAGACTATAGACTAGACTATAGACTAGACTATAGACTAGACTATAGACTAGACTATAGACTAGACTATAGACTAGACTATAGACTAGACTATAGACTAGACTATAGACTAGACTATAGACTAGACTATAGACTAGACTATAGACTAGACTATAGACTAGACTATAGACTAGACTAGACTATAGACTAGACTAGACTATAGACTAGACTAGACTATAGACTATAGACTAGACTATAGACTAGACTATAGACTAGACTATAGACTAGACTATAGACTAGACTATAGACTAGACTATAGACTAGACTATAGACTAGACTATAGACTAGACTATAGACTAGACTATAGACTAGACTATAGACTAGACTATAGACTAGACTATAGACTAGACTATAGACTAGACTATAGACTAGACTATAGACTAGACTATAGACTAGACTATAGACTAGACTATAGACTAGACTATAGACTAGACTATAGACTAGACTATAGACTAGACTATAGACTAGACTATAGACTAGACTATAGACTAGACTATAGACTAGACTATAGACTAGACTATAGACTAGACTATAGACTAGACTATAGACTAGACTATAGACTAGACTATAGACTAGACATAGATAGACTATAGACTAGACTATAGACTAGACTATAGACTAGACTATAGACTAGACTATAGACTAGACTATAGACTAGACTATAGACTAGACTATAGACTAGACTATAGACTAGACTATAGACTAGACTATAGACTAGACTATAGACTAGACTATAGACTAGACTATAGACTAGACTATAGACTAGACTATAGACTAGACTAGACTAGACTATAGACTAGACTATGGACTAGACTATAGACTAGACTATGGACTAGACTATAGACTAGACTATGACTAGACTATAGACTAGACTATAGACTAGTCTATAGACTAGACTATAGACTAGACTATAGACTAGACTATAGACTAGACTATAGACTAGACTATAGACTAGACTATAGACTAGATAGACTAGACTATAGACTAGACTATAGACTAGACTATAGACTAGACTATAGACTAGACTATAGACTAGACTATAGACTAGACTATAGACTAGACTATAGACTAGACTATAGACTAGACTATAGACTAGACTATAGACTAGACTATAGACTAGACTATAGACTAGACTATAGACTAGACTATAGACTAGACTATAGACTAGACTATAGACTAGACTATAGACTAGACTATAGACTAGACTATAGACTAGACTATAGACTAGACTATAGACTAGACTATAGACTAGACTATAGACTAGACTATAGACTAGACTATAGACTAGACTATAGACTAGACTATAGACTAGACTATAGACTAGACTATAGACTAGACTATAGACTAGACTATAGACTAGACTATAGACTAGACTATAGACTAGACTATAGACTAGACTATAGACTAGACTAAGACTAGACTATAGACTAGACTATAGACTAGACTATAGACTAGACTATAGACTAGACTATAGACTAGACTATAGACTAGACTATAGACTAGACTATAGACTAGACTATAGACTAGACTGTAGACTAGACTATAGACTAGACTATAGACTAGACTAGATATAGACTATAGACTACTTAGACTAGACTATAGACTAGACTATACTATAGACTAGACTATAGACTAGACTATAGACTAGACTATAGACTAGACTATAGACTAGACTATAGACTAGACTATAGACTAGACTATAGACTAGACTATAGACTAGACTATAGACTAGACTATAGACTAGACTATAGACTAGACTATAGACTAGACTGTAGACTAGACTATAGACTAGACTGTAGAGAGACTATAGACTAGACTGTAGACTAGACTATAGACTAGACTATAGACTAGACTATAGACTAGACTATAGACTAGACTATAGACTAGACTATAGACTAGACTATAGACTAGACTATAGACTAGACTATAGACTAGACTATAGACTAGACTATAGACTAGACTATAGACTAGACTATAGACTAGACTATAGACTAGACTATAGACTAGACTATAGACTAGACTATAGACTAGACTATAGACTAGACTATAGACTAGACTATAGACTAGACTATAGACTAGACTATAGACTAGACTATAGACTAGACTATAGACTAGACTATAGACTAGACTATAGACTAGACTATAGACTAGACTAGACTATAGACTAGACTATAGACTAGACTAGACTATAGACTAGACTAGACTATAGACTAGACTATAGACTAGACTATAGACTAGACTAGACTATAGACTAGACTAGACTAGACTAGACTAGAGATAGACTATAGACTAGACTATAGACTAGACTATAGACTAGACTATAGACTAGACTATAGACTAGACTATAGACTAGACTATAGACTAGACTATAGACTAGACTATAGACTAGACTATAGACTAGACTATAGACTAGACTATAGACTACACTATAGACTAATGCTATATGACAATAGGCTAGGCTACAATAAAGTTTTCGCATTATAAATAAACGGATACGCTGTTTTTGAACATGATTTATCTTCAATGGATTCATTCGTCTATAAAATCTTGAAGCTGGTGATATAGCAGAAATTGTCCAATTGGTGAATAAACTGGTCTTACCATAAGACAGTACGTGCCAAAAAGTCTATTAATTTATGCTCTTTATATTTATAAATTATCAAGTATTTTTTCCTATTCTTTTAGATACAAATCTAAATGCAGAATCTAATCATAAATAGATATTCGCATTATAAATTGTAACGTCCTATCTTATGGCCCCTTTGTTGTTATGGTAGTTAATATTTTGAATACATATATTGAAAGTAATCTTATCGTAACTAATATTTATCACAAATTTATTTTAAAAATAAATTCGAGTCTTAAATAATAAAATAAACATATATGTACATACATATATTTGAAATAACTTCAGTCTTTTGCTAAACACCCAACAGTTCGGTCCTTAAAATTCAACATGAAAGGTAAATTAAATAATTAAAAGAAAATTCCATAATGATAACACAATTTTCCCTCATAAAAGATCCTTTATTAATCTGTTTGGCGGCCGTGGCTCTAATGTGGTCAATACTGCCCGTAACTATAGTGGGGCAACGTAATGCTGATCTTGTCCCAATGAAACTAAATTGCGTGATCCAGATGATTGTAGTCAAGAAATCATATGTATTGATTTTAAATCAACTCCTGGTGTTCAATGTAAGGGCTCCACACCTTTCTACAATAAGGATACATTCAAATGCGTAAAAGATTTAACCGATCGCAGTACATGCGAAATCGATTGTAAAAATAAATCTCATACATTTGTACAAGATCCAAAATCATGCTATGGTTATTATATTGTCAAGACGAAGATTTGGCTCTATATGGTCACTGTCCACAAAGTTATCACTTTGATCAGACTGAGCAGATGTGTATTTATGATTTTAATTCGACCTGCAGCTCTCATAAATTGAACTTTTGCGCCATCGTTACGACGGGCATTAAATTTAAAGATGAATCCAATTGCGGAAAATATTTCGAATGTGTACAGAATAAAGCAACGAAAAACGTAACACTTAAAAATGCATTTTGTGAAAGCACCGCACCTTTTTATCATCCCGCTAATGGAACATGTATAAAAGAAACTATAGAAGGATGTCATCCAGTACCGGAAAATGTCTGTCTGTGGTTCAGGAAAAGGAATTAAAAGAAATAAATTCGTCAATGATGGAGCTACTTGTGGTGGCACTTTCTTTTGTGCTGATTATGGCTCTAAACCAGATCCAAATCCTCAATGGTATAAATGTCCGAATAATTGTTTTTTAGCGAGGTGGAACAAATGTGCGTAGATCCATTGAAAGTTGCATGCCATAGAGATCGTTGTGAGGGTAGTAAGAGAACATTTGTGGTCAGTAGTGAAAGTGGTTGTCGTCATTATCTTCGATGTGAAAATGGTGTTCAAGTGGGAGGAGGAAAGTGTGTTAATACATTCTTCGACGAAGAACAGGGTATATGTACCACGGAAATAATAAAATATCCAGCTTGTTATCAAAATAATAGAATAAATCATGTACATACCTATATGTATATAAATAGAGTATAATATGTTGCGATTTACTTTTTTATTTGAAATATCGACAAAATCAACCCATAGATTAGACTATAGATTGGACTATAGAGTAGACTAGAGACTAGACTATAGACTAGACTATAGACTAGACTAGACTAGACTATAGACTAGACTATAGACTAGACTATAGACTATAGACTAGACTATAGACTAGACTATAGACTAGACTATAGACTAGACTATAGAATAGACTATAGACTAGACTATAGACTAGACTATAGACTAGACTATAGACTAGACTATAGACTAGACTATAGACTAGACTATAGACTAGACTATAGACTAGACTATAGACTAGACTATAGACTAGACTATAGAATAGACTATAGATAGACTAGATAGACTAGACTATAGACTAGACTATAGACTAGACTATAGACTAGACTATAGACTAGACTATAGACTAGACTATAGACTAGACTATAGACTAGACTATAGACTAGACTATAGACTAGACTATAGACTAGACTATAGACTAGACTATAGACTAGACTATAGACTATAGACTAGGACTAGACTAGACTATAGACTATAGACTAGACTATA